TCATACTTATTCCTGTTTTCTGTCATACGTTTTCCAATTTGCTGACATACGATTTCCCATTTTTTGTCATACGTTTTCCCATTTTCTGTCATTGACTAACACTGTAGCTATTGCAATTGTTCATGAACAAACCAACGCAACCATGGTACGAAAGCCTGAATGTAACGCAAAGGTATGAGTCATATCGTTTGATCATTCAGCATGTTAGTGATGGTTGAAACGGAATGTGTTCTATGCATACCGCGAAAATTTAAACATATCCATATTCAGATAGCTTTGTCAATTGAACACCACTCAACACTTCAATGGTGAAAAATATTCACTTTTTGAATATTTACATTGAATTTGCAGTTTAGTGTTCATGATCCAATTGGATTTTTTTTTTCAAACTATATTGAAGGTAGTGAAGGACTGAATGTAAACATCTGGAATTTTTTATGCGATCCATATGATGTGGAACGCAAAATTATCAACATGTGCACAGGTGGAATTGTAATTCCATCAATTGTTTGACATTGTTCTCTTGAAAAATGCGTGCGATAATATTTTGTTCATGATCCAATTGGATGATTTTTCAAACCATAGTGAAGGGAGTTAAGGACTAAATGTAAACATCTAGCATTTTCGATGCGATTCATAATGATGTGGAACGCAAAATTATCGACACGTGCACAGGTGGAATTGTAATTCCACCAATTGTTTGACATTGTTTTCTTGAAAAATGCGTGCGATAACATTTTGTGAGCTCTAATTAGAATTGTCTTTGTATGCGGATTAAATAATATCATTAATGTATTGCTGATGTGACCATACTTGAAAAGTATATAAGAAGATGCGCTCGATTCGTTTTTCAATCAAACAGTTTGTCAATTTTCTTCAATTGACACGTTTACAGTACACTTTTGATAGTTCGAAGCTGGAAAAATGCTGGGTCAAAGATCTTTCACACTGCTGCTCGTTGGCTTGATGGTATTGGAGGTGAGACGACAATTTTAGTCTGAAATTTGTAATTTTAATGTTGTTCGGAATTTTTTTCACCTGTAAATTTTGGATCGAATCTTTTACATTTGAATCTTTTCGTGAACAATTTGTGATAATTTTTTTTTTGAAACTCATTTCATTCATGAAAAAATGTCTATTTTAAAGTTTTTCAATTGAAAAAAATCTTCCACTAAAAAAAATCGAATGAAAAACAGTTGAAAACCATTACAATCTCATCCATTGTTCCATTCTAATTTATGCCCGTTGTAAGTGGTTCGGATTTAATTAAATCCAAAAATTTAATTTTCAACTTTGCGAAAACCGCCAAAAAATGAAAGCTGATTGGGTAGGACATAAAATTTGGGCGAAAACAAGAAAAACTGGCTATTTGAGTACACCCGATAAGCCTTATGGGTCCTTGAAATCATGATTTTCCCGAATTTCGTTAAATCTCAAAGTTTCAATTTTCAAGTGCGGGATTTAAGCATTTTTCATGCAAATTCATGTTGCAAATAAGTCAAAAATTGTAGAAAATGGTCGAAAAATTCTAAATCAGCAGAAAAAACATTACCATTTTTCACGAATTTGGTCTCAAACGATTATATGCAAAAATATCCAACCATATAGCAGAGTGAATGGGAAGATGGGGTTGAGAAAAATTATAAAAAACACATCAAAATTTCATTCAATGAGTTATTATTTATTTAAAAAAAAAATATCAACCAAAAAATGTTGAAGGCGGAAATCGAGTGGACGGCCTTGTGCCACGCGCATTTCGGCCTGTCGTTCAATTACAATTTGTCGACGGTACTGTTCTACAGAGTAAAGAGTGGGCTCTTCATTATACTTTTTTTTTTCAAATTGTGGAGGGCGCAGCAAGTGACAATGACATCCTGTGTCGTTCTTTGATTATTGAACCTCATTCCTAGAAAACAAAGAAAACATCTACATTACATTATCAATCAAAAATATTATAGTTTGAGATTTCTCAAAAAATATCTTCTTCACCGTATTCTAAAATGGCAAATTCCCTTTTACACGCTCGACGACATTCCTTGCCAAAATCTGACAATCTTGATACGTTTCTTTATTGATCGTAACAACATGATTCAGTGGCTCGCAAATAAAACGTTCGGGTGGATATGCGGAGTCGGCCACTAACACCGAATATTCACCAAATTCACCTCGACGGAAGCGATCGCACAAGTTCGAATTGGTGAATATTCTTGAGTCATGTGCAGATTCCGGCCATCGTGCCACCACATCAAGAATTCGTTCCTAAAATAAATAACAAATAATGCATTTATAAATACACATGAGTGAAAATTTGAGTTGGTTTAAAATATTTCTTTCACACCACTTACGTCGGCAGATACTGCCAATTGTACCTTCATGGAGAAAAAGAGATGTCGATTTCTATAAAGTTCCGCGTCCGGACCACCAAATGAATTTATCGGTACATGAGTGCCATCAACAGCCGCGATACATAAAGAAAAATGTGCCAAGCTCATGAAGTCCGCTTTCGCTTGCAATATTTCTTCTTGGGTGGTTGGCATGAAGATGAAACGATCTCTTTCTTGTGCGATCAGAAAACTGACCTCCCAAACAATATTCTGCACCGTTGCATAGCTTATTCCGAACATGTCGCAAATAACCATATAGTTGGCACCGACTCGATAAAATCTTATGGCGATCAAAAGCTTGGTAACTCCATCAATAGTGAACTCCGGTCTTGTGTACTAAAATTTTATAAATAAACTGTTAAATTATAAATAAAATATACTCTAACGACAAAAAGACATGATTTGCAAAATATCAAGAGTCTAGCTGAGATCCAATGATTCGTCAGAGATAAATGGCCCTAGATTTTATCCATTCACGTAATAAAAAGCAATCACCATAGGTTGTAGATTTCTTGCGCCATCAATCCAATCGTAGAATACACGAATTTGCCTTTTTGTCATCCGAAATCTATCGAAAAATTCTCTTTCATTCAAATCAACCATTGGATCAAAATTTATGGGCAAGTAGGTGTTCGGTTGTTCACAGACTCCCATTATTTTTGCAAAAAAATGGCAGTTTGCCTTGATCGAAACCCCGAAAAATGCCTTTTTCGGGTACTCACCGTGAAAAAGTGTCATTTTTCAAGGTTTTTCAGGTCCTCAGTCCACGGCCGTAGCCAGCACAAATTTCTTGGATGAGCGGAGAGAATTTTTGGGTGAGCGCAGCAAAATTTGATGATTATGAAACTGTCATTAATTTTGAAAATCGATTCTGTCTAGTGTAAAAGCCACAAATAATCAAATAATGTATAAAATGTGATTTTATAGAGATCCCAGCCCCTTGGAACTTCATTCCTTTTATTCCAAAAACGCTTCATTCACAGATTCACACTATATCACGGTGAAACACGTGATTTGTAATTTCTAGCGAATCATCAGGATTCTTAATCCCATCAGATTCAATTTAGTGTCTGTAGTAATTTGAAATTGTTATTCGTATTGTATTGCTTGAACTTTATAATATGCCACGTCAGAACTAACATATCAATTTAAGACAACGGTTTACACTGTGTTGATGTTGTCAATTTGATGCAGAAATTTTTCTTGAAAAACCAATACACACGACAGCCATTGTAAATTAGTTATTATCAATAGGAAAATAACTCAAACGATTCGCTAGAAATTACGTATCTACAGAAATATAGATTTTCAGTATTCAGTTAGAAAATCGTACTATAATTAGAGAAATTAGGAAATTTTTCAATATAGTTGACTTTTGCATTGATGTGGTCAAAATGTTTTCACTTTAATCATCATATTTGGCTTCAGTTATGTTGGTAAAGTGTAAGAAAAATATAATTTGTGTAATGTTCAAATGAAAAAAAAATGAGTTGCGAGCGGAGCGAGCAAAATTTTTCAGAGGATTCTTAACTACAGCGAAAACTATAGCTAAAATAATTTTGGGAGTCGAGCATTTTTAGGTGAGCTCAAATAATTTTTGGGTGAGCTGAGCTCACCCAAGCGTATGGCTGAATACGGCCGTGCCTCAGTCGGAGGCTTATGGTACGAAATTGGTAAATCAGAATGGAAATTTTACAGATCTCAATTATCTTGTCAACTTTTTGAGATAATCGGCGAACAAAAAACGCGAACGCGGACGACGCCATACGCACATCGCAATTTTGCACATTTTTCATAGTAAACAACATGTTTTTGGAGGCAGATAGGTCTTGATCG